CAAGGCAGTTGCTAAACTCTGAAATAGGCAAAAAAATTATACATATATACAGACATGATAGTACATCTTCTAATGGCAAAAGTATTAGAATATTAATAAAGATCATACTTATGCAACGCAATTGTTTACAATACACTTAAAAATAAAATATTGTAATCTGGCAATTTATGTGTGTCAGATGTCAACTACGAATGCACTTACTGATAGTGTCTTTGTTATCTAACAAGAAAATAAATATATTACTGCCTCATCTATATTTTTTACCTATAAAGGTATGAAAGGAAACATTCCAAACACCAAGAACTAAAAATCTAATCTCTACAAAGTTTATCAAACACATCAGAGCCAACTCCACAGTAGTCATTTACCCTTCCCAACATCAGAATAACCATCTATTTTTTTATCTACATCTCCCACATATCACTCTTTCGTCAACTGTAATTCTTGCAATATATTCACAAGTTTAATAAATAAATTTAAATCACTGCACTACTCTTTATGTATAAACATGTACTTTAAAATCTGATTGCATATTTAACCCAAGAACTGTGAGGCACTGCTCAAGCAAGAAGCCTTGGCATACTAGCTACACCTCAGGATCTGGCAATTTCATTCTCTTTATTGGATTCTTCTTTTTTTTTCGTGCCCTAAATATTTTCTTTAAAAGCACATACAAATATTTTTGTGATTTCTTGCAAACACCACACAGATACATAATACGCACTGTCATAATACGAGATTGTCAATAAATAACTAGCTGTCATTTTTATGTACTGGCCGAAGCCATATCATTTCTTAGGCATGAACAGTACTTTGCCACCCAGTTTATGATTATGTAATTTTTCAGATTCTGCCCAACATGAGCAGATTTTTAAGGCATGGTGGGGTGTCACATTCCCCCAGTGGTACACCCATGACTATAGGGTGGATTCAGAAAGAGTAACTGCACACACTTTGAGCTTAAAAGTTCAGATTTAAGTATCAAGCTGACAAATGTATGAATGGTAAACAAGACGTATCTTAAGTTTTTTCATAAGTAAATATGATCATATCTACCAGTTTAAAATAAAACTAACTACAGGGAATGAATGTGCATTCTTTACAGTAGCCACATCACAATATACAACAATTGTAGCCAAGAACATCTCAAGGATATTTTCTTTGTAGTATTAACTAATCATTCTTTTGAGAGAGCTTTGATTTTGTCATTTACTCTATTAAAAATTGAAAATAAAAAGATTATAATAGAATAATATCAATACTACTACTACTACTACTACTACTACTACTACTACTACTACTACTACAATAATAACAATAACAATAATAACAATAACAATAACAATAATAATAATAATAATAATAATAATAATAATAATAATAATAATAATAATAATAATAATAATAATAATAATAATAATAATAAAATAATATAATAATATAATAATAATATAATAATAATAATAATAATAATAATAATAATAATAATAATAATAATAATAATAATAATAATAATACATGTAATGTTCACTGTAGTTTTATTTTGTGAAAAGTCTTTACACAGAGTTAGCTCCACAAGTGTTCAATCACCACGGAGACAACTAGCTGTATACGTGACCTCACCTGATTTGCTTCTTTCCTGAGTTTTTTTAAAAGTAATAATACTGATGTTAATACTACTTTCATAGACATTATAATTATCATAATGACAATATCAAAAATTATCTTAAATATTTCCAAAAAGTAAGGAAAAGAGTAAACACATGAGATAGTTAGGACTAGTGATTGACATCTTGGTGACTAAGCTCTTGTGGAATTGTCTATGTGTAACTATAATTAATAAACTAAGCTTACAATGGGCATGGCATGTATGTACATACCATCACCAGAGGTAATGGGTTGCTACATTGCACAAAAATCATTCAATGCAAAATATCCTAATCACATACAAGAAAAAAGCATAGAGATAAACATCCATCAAATGTTACCTTCCTCCTATCCCTCCATACCTGCAAGACTGTCTGATCCTCCACATTGGGCCCCACACCTTGTAGGGCAGCTGGCAAGTCAACATTCCTGAGGACTTCTGTCTGTGCATCAAAGGCCTGAAGACCCTGGAGCCTCTTTTCCCAGAATAACTTTAAAATAATAAATAAACAAAAATAAATTAGTAAATCTTTTCACATCATGATAACAAAAGTTAGTAGGTTACTTTCCAAAGTCCCTCCTTCCCGAACTTAGACAACCATTATTCTAGTCATGAAGGAAAGGTTTAATACATGTATTTGTTTTTTAAGTCACTTGATTCCTGATAAGATTCCCATAGGCAATCTATATTTGGATAGAGAGCATCATCAAAACCTTAGGAGAAATCTAGCATTCTAAAAAACAAACAAACATCTATCATACTACAATTTAAAATTTCATCATCACCTACTAATCTAAAACACAGCCTACTTAACCATGCTGCCAGGAGAACATCAGGTTAATATTTTTTCAGGCTGCAGCCTTCATTATTAAGAAATGCTTTGGGAAGAAGGGACACTGGCAAAAGACCTATGTTTCCTACACTTTCCAATCCCTTTTTAATCATATCTTCCCTCTAAGAGCATATAGAAATCTGGTTACTTCAGAAAAATTACTCCAGAACCCATATTAGGTTTCTGAAATTATATTATCTGGGAAAATATTGTTATGCAACAATACATGCCAAAGCATGCATTCACACTCATGTCCACATCTACACACATACAGAAAAACAAACACACATAGAAAAATACAAACATTCACAAACACACAAAAGGCTGAAACATGAGTTGACTGACACACAGACACACATACACACAAAAACAAACAAACACAAATACGCACACACATACACACGCAGACACACACATATATGATAGCAGTCTTGGATACAGAGAATAACAAATAATATCTACCAATTAATAAAACAAAATACTCAAAAAAGTAAATAACATTTAAAAGATAATGATAATACAATAAACATGACAACATATATGCCATCAGTGGGGTCAACAACCATTCAGGTTCTTTATAACAACACCACTAATACAATGAACACAGATAAAGCAGCATAAGCCTGGTGCTACAACAAAGCCTTATCTAAAGGAATGGTTTTCTTATGCTAGTGACCTCTCCAAAGATTCAAAAAGATTTGGCACCTTTATGAGTCATTTGAGACATCCCAGACTTTAGACTCTCTGAGAAGGGAGGATGGAATAATGTACAGTAAACAACACTCAATTACTCAAAGGAACCCCAAGTAAACAAGCATGGCAAAACAAGAAAAAGAATGGATGATTAAGTCACAGCAATCAAGGGATTAAAATGTTAGCTTTAAGCTTGAGGATAAAATCAAAACAGAAAAAGCTGCCAGCATAGACATCAGCTCAACCGATAATGGTAAGAAACACAGCGAGGCTGCTTACCCAATTTGAAGATTGCAAGAATTCTCTTGCTTGGTTTACAACAATAAATTGCTCCCAAGTAGGGGAATAAAAACTCGGGTGCTCCTACCCTACTCATTCACAGACAGGCCTCCCTGTTGCATCAATGACACCACCACAACACCAAGGACAGCTGGGACATAAAGCTGCCATGTTTCTGTACATCCTTTACCAAGTCTCATACAGCAAATAATGTGTTCCAAAGGTCTGAGACACAAGGGTATAAGACAAACATACACCCATTTCAGTAAAAGTCCTATTGCAGAGGCCAAGGAAAAAATAACACTATCAACTATACTAACAAAACAAACTATAAACGTAGTGACTCCTGGCAGCATGATTAAGGTAACTGCTACACTAGAAGAATACTTGGTTCAGAAATAGACTTTATGGAATGACAACCACATATCTTCAGTAATGGCTGCAGTCCATGAAATACCAAGGATATAAAATATTGGAAGTAGGTATGACTATAAAAAAAAATTATAATGACAAAACTAAATGGCATATGAGGAGGATATGCCTTACATTCCAATATGCATATGAGTGCCACTTATGGAGTCACATAAAAAGTAGCTCTCGTACACATTTTGACTTAATACTAAATATAGTGATTTTTTTCTACTAAAACACAGTAGATTTATTTTCAAAGGAAATATATATACATTGCATCAAGTCTCATTTTAACTCTTTTAAAAACAAAAACACAACTGATGGTATTATCTTACATTACAGAGGATACCATTCCTCAAGATAAGAGTTTTGAAAGTTTGTATATAATCCTCATACTAATACTTCTGAATGTTGACCTCCTTCATATAGTAATCCATGTTGACATGATATTCATATACTACAGGAAATCCTTCTGTAAGAGCACTATAGCCACCAGGAAAAAAGAGGAAGGAATATAACAAAAGTCTCTTTATTGCTTGTTTATGAATGAAAACATATTCTTTGGATTCTGTATCCTATGTTGTTAACTAGGACTTAAAAAGGCGAATTCAGGATTTTGTTTCTTCAAAAGCCATGGAAATCAAAAGAGTGGGAGGAGAAACAGCCCAAGTCAAAAAGGTAAGTACTTGTGCTTTGGCAAATGTTTTTGAGACTTGTTAAAGGTGGCAGCACCATGAGCAGGTACCCGTCTGTAGGTGTGTAGGTGTGGAAGTGTGAGTGTAAGGAGTGTGAGAATGGTTATGTATGAGAGGAGGAAGGGAAATGGGTGTTAGGATAGGCATGGCCACTGCCTACCTCCCCTCCCCTAGCCCCATGGCCCTCTCTCCATCTTTCCAGGCCCAGACTGTAAAGTGACACCAGAGCGGGAGTGGGAGTAACAGTAGCAGGAGAGGGAGTGGGAGTAACAGTAGCAGGAGAGGGAGTGGAGTGGCAGTATGGGAGTAACAGTAGCAGGAGAGGGAGTGGGAGTAAAAGGAGTATGAGTATGAGTGGGAGAAGAAGCAAGTGTAGTAGGAAGAGTGAGAGTGGGAGTGGGAAAGGATGAGTACATGAGCATGTGTGTATGCTAGCATATACCTATAAAATGAACTAATTCCATCCCTTCTCTATATAAAACTATTACTGCCTGTGTCTATTAAGTGTGTAGCTACTAAAGGCTGCATGCTTAACTCTGTGAAATCCTCTTCCTATAATACTCTGTTTATGAAATAGGTATACTACTTCTTCATCATGTATTTCCCTTTTTAAACTCTGTGCCAAGTCTCTAATGGTACCGTTCATGTTTCCTAGCCCTATTTACAGTATCATTTTTTATTTGGTTTCGTTTGTTTCTTAACTGTAAAAGCGTTACCTGTTTTGGCTTATCCTGTATACCATGTTTCATATCAAGCTTCACTCTACTTGATGGCTGTGTTTTAATTACAGTTACAGGCTGCTTGAATATCGAAGCTGTTTGGCGGATGGGTGGTACCAGTGATGCATCATTCCGCATTCCACGACTATTAGAGAAACCATTTCAATTATGGGTAAAATAGATATGTAGTATTTACTTACATCACCTATATAGAAAACAAAGGAAATTTTAACACACTGTATACATATATGACAAAATATCACAAGAGCTGTTGACACGTTTCAATATTCATATATAAAATTTACTGTGTAATACTACATCTTTTACAATATTACACTTCTGTTAGATGAAATGAGAAGAAAATAAATCAGCATACTTCAGGATGTTAAGGCTTCAAAGAGAAATAAAATTCAGCATAAATAACTTTATTTCCAGATATAATGGCAAAAAGAAAATATCAACAACTTATGACAACAAAACAGTTATATAAATAAATCATCAACTTACCTGTAGTCAAATAGAGTTCCTCTTGGTTTTTTATTCTTCCTTACCAACATAGGGTTGACTTTTCCTGTCCGAAAGTCAAATGATGACAAGTCCACGGTGTCTCCAAGATATCTGGCCAGCTGGGGCTTGCTTCTGAACTTTTTTCCATTTGGACTGAAAAAGAATAAACAAATAAATAAATGATTATCTTTCCAGGCTACAAAGTCATACGCTGAAGCAATACCATAATTTGTGAGTTCAAATAGCTAGTTGTTCAAGGGGGCCCAGGGTTACTATGGAAGATACAGGGGTTACTTTTGGATAGTTATGAGATATGTGATCATAGCAGTATCTGTTGTCGCAGTCAACATGATAAGAGCCTTGGAAAAAGATAGGTTCATCTTCTTTCTTCTCTGTTATGAATCTCCTTTATTCTTAATTTTGCCATTGATGAAAAGTGTCACAGTTTATGTCAAGGTAACCATTCCATACACTTTTCTTTCCTCAAATCTTGACTATTATCCACTGAAAAATGCATTCATAATATTTATCTATAAATTCCACTAATTTCTTCTATTATATCTGGCTAAAAGGAATCAATGGAAATCCATTCAAACTCAATTTGATAGATTTAAAGATGGAGGTGTGTTTTAGGAAAGTACCCAACTACTTGCACTTTGCAGCCAAGCAAAATTCTCATTAACACAACGTCAGTAAGATCTTGCCTGCACATCTCAAACATCAAAGACTTATGCCAGGGCAGAGTTCTTAAACAAAATATAGCACCAATATATTAAAATGAAGATAATGAACTAGAAAATTATAACAAAACTGTACCAGTCTGTAATAAGTATTGATTTTTCCCAAGCCTTATGTTAGCTCTCACATCAATATGCACGATGTAAGTACTAACACAAGTAAATAAAGGTACAGTTTATCATAAATAGAACTAACCTGTAGTAATAAACATCGACTTTCCCCGAAGTTAATCCTGTCTTCCTGAGTACTTCCTCCCTCTTCCAGCCCTTCGGAAGTGCGGAGCAGTCATATCGCCGTTTTTCTATCTGTACTGACATTGTGGTTGTTATTTTTGGTGTCTTTCTGGATCTCCTCCACTCCTTCTTCTCTGTCGCGTTATGTCTCCTTCTCTCCTTCTCAACTTCTCTTAATTTACCACTAAGAAGTGTTTTTCACTCAGCTTCTTCTCTTTCTTTCTCTTGTTTGTTTACGACCGACGCTTTGAGAAGAGAGATAATGTGTATAAAATGAAGAGAAATTCCAATTTTCTTTTAATTTCCTCGAATTTTACTATAAAGAATCTTATTATTTAATGGTATATACATGTTCTTTGGGTATCCATTCTGAACAAACGTTGCCTGTTCTTTGTTATACTTTTAATCCCTCTAATTTCTGTCTCAAAACAGTAAGGTCTCCTACTGGCTTTGACTTCGTCTCCATAATATGTATAATAAGAATGCAAAGAAGTTACAAATATATCATCGACCATCTAATATTTTCTTTATTGATGTAATCTAAAATATATAACCTTACAACGAATTCATTCTCAAACAATACGCTCAATTTGAATAAAATTCTAGAAGCTTCCAGAGTATTCTACCCGTCGATCGCAGAAGCCGCTGACAGAAAACCAATAAGCTAAAATCCAACACAAGAAACCCCGAAAATCCCCAAATTCAAGAGAGAAAAATAAAAAACTCCCTTTTAACCCGTCATCAAAGCCCCAGAAGGGCGTCGTCGTAAATAAAGACAGAAGTCGCGTGAGTCAGGCTGCACCTCCCGCGTGTTGTGGTTCCGAGTCTTGTCATCGCGCCTTCTCTCTCGAATTCCTCCAAAATGATGGGCGGAGGCCAACCTATCATCGTTCTGAGTAAGTCTGATTAGAGATGGATTCATGTAGGTGATTCTCATCCATCGAAACGGCCGAATTATTAACGAATTGCCTGTATTTCAGACCAGAACACCAAGCGCGAGAGCGGGCGGAAGGTGCAAGTGCAGAACATCAATGCCGGGAAGGTGAGGCTGGGATTTATTTTCGTCTTTGTGCGCCTGTTTCGAGTTGTATCGGGGATTTATCAGTTAAACTCTCTTGTTTTGTGGGTAAAGTTCAGCCTGAGGTGATTTATTGTGAATTCGCGTGCGTGGTTTGTGTGTTATAAATAGTGGTTTTGGTGGTGGGTGGAGGAGTGACTCGTGTAATGCGTGCCACGAGAGTTTACATTTGTTGCGGTTCTTTTACTGCCTCCGAGACTGGGTAAGTTGGTGGGTAAATAGCAAAGCAGTCTGGTAGTGCAAGTTTTGGTATATGATGGGATTAGTTCCAGTTATTTCTCTGGAATTCGTAAATGCTCGTACTGTATAAGTTACCGAGGCGCATTTAAGGGGACATGGACACTGCCCTATTATAGAGCTCAAGGAATATAGTAATAAACAACATAGGTACGCCGGTCTCCTATTTACGGTGTAACAACGAAAATATTCACTGTTTATCACCGCTCAAGAGACCAAGTCCGCAACGCCCTCGCATAGCCAGAGTTCAGAATGTCCGATTTCTATACATAGGCACGAAATGGTAATAAAGGGGGGCATGGGGAGCTTACTCCCTTGTCGAGGGAATAGATAGAAGATAGGAAAGGTTAGGTTGGGTTTTAAGCTTACATGATACACTGGTTTTGGGACTTAGTCTGGAGCGTACGTCGCTCTCAGTAACAATTGCCCCACATACAGTTGCGAGATAATTACCATTCACAATTTTTTTGATTTTTGGAAAAAAGTTGAAGGTGGAAGTTTTTCTGAATATCTTGCATCCAGTTAGTTACCATAGATCTTCTATGTTAATGATAAGATGACCCCCATGTGACTGCCAGTCACATGGGGGAGCTCTGGCTACCTTGCATCCAGTTAGTTACCATAGATCTTCTACCTTAATGATAGGATGACTCTGGCTACAGTCTTCCAAAGTTCACTACCTATATTCTTGCTGGATAGTCTGACTAGAAATTTATTATAAGAGAAGGAATTGTCAGATCTTGTTTAGCTCAATAGACAGAATGTTGGTTGGCCTTTGTTGAAGCACAGAGATTAGTATGTCACTTTGTCATCCAGTTCTGAACTATTACCAAGAAATCTAATAAGTAAGCAGGCAAATTTGCATTAGTATAATTTGGATCATCTATATTAGCTAATTTTAAAGATTTTTGAAACATGATGTCAATATCAATCTGTAAATGTGGAAAGAAACCTTGTCCCGAAAACAATAGAAAGGTCGTATAATCAGAAAGACGTGGCAAACTTTGTCCGATGGACAACAAATGAAATACCGCTAAAGTAAACAAGCACAACTTGCAATGTGTCCAGACTCGATATCCGATACACATAACAAATTTTTCAACAATATAACAAAATGTGGTTTTGCGAACTAAAATAATGAAAACATAACATTTCCAATTACCCCCACCCCCACCCCTGCACCTAAATGAATATATATTATCAAATTGGCAGTCGCATTTGGAGCATTTAAGGGCCCCCAGTATGAGGCCATGTGACCGGCATATTTCTATATTTCTCCCTAAAGTGCCCGTACCTACCAGAATTTTTTTTTTTTTTTTTTTAAGAACACTTTATCCATTATGATAAAAGCTATGCTATTTTTCCCATTGTCTTTAAAACATAAAGATAAATATAAGATAAACATTTAAACAACTATTTTAACTTGCCCCATGTTACAATGCACACAAAAATTGCCGGGTCCATCCACGTCAAGAGCTTACCGGAAAGTGTTCAAATAATGAACATTGTGTATTGTTCCGACATGGGAGGCAATTAATGTAAAGAGGCAGTAACATAGTTACATTAACAGTGAATTAAGCATGTGATAATGAAATAAAATATCTACATTACATAGAAGAATACTTGTAATGTATAAGCATAAAAGGAATAGAGGAAACGTTAGTAGAAATAGGATGAAATATTCAAATAAAATAATATTAATCGGAAATTATTCCACATTGGTTGAAAGTGGTGCACAGAAAACGTGACCTTCATAGAAAACGCAGTTATAGAAAATTAATGAACAGAAAGTAAGACATATAGAAGATTTCATAGAAAATGTAGACATAAACAAGGAACTTTGGCTGCGTAAGGGTGTTATAGACTCAGTCCCTGATTTTTTGTCTTTTATCGGTAAATATGAGGCCTCTGCAGCTTAAACTGTTTTATCCCACTCTATTTCTTTTGCTCTTTAAGGTTGCGGTCTCCATTTCCCTCTATCTACATGCGTCAGTTTACCTTATACCATCTTGTCAAAAGGTTATATATAAAGTATTAAAAATTATTTGGAAGTTTCTGAATCAAGTCCCCCCTCTCCTAGACCTAATCACCACAGTGCTTGAACAGGCACATTTCATGAATTCCAAATAGGTAAAGAAGAGTCCCAATTTCAGAACTAGATATTTTTGAAATTTAAACCATTGATCAGTCTAAAAGCCATCAAATTTAGTTGGTTAAACTTTACAGTGTGGATGCACTAAGCTGGGGGGAATTAAAGATGATATTCTAGCTAACTAAATGGTACAAGAAATAAACTGCAAACATGAACAGTATCACCACAAATAAAGGAAAAAGATCTCTGGAAGTGCCACTCACAGCCTTAGTCCACTCAGTGCTCTCCAAGCTTCAGCTCTACCTTGCCATGTATACTGAGGTGAAGACAGTGTTTGCTCTTGGATGATGGGTGGCTTCAACTCACCCCTTGTGTGGGCACACCCATTTGCGGCAACTTCGATTGCTGAATAGATTATGTGGTGTGCAGATTAGTCTCTGGCGAGTGTGTCTGTACTGTAAGAATTACCACTACAGAATCACTGTAGCCTCTCTATCATAAAGGGGGTGTTAGGGGGACACAATATTTACTAATGATAAAAGTACATAAATACTGCATAAACTTAACTCCACCATTTACAAAGATGCCCAATTTTTAAAGAATTTTAGAAGTGTAAAAACACCTTACGCTGGGGGGAAGAATGTTAATCTCTGGCGTATGCTTTGTAGAACATCATAAAGATTGTTAGAAATAACAAAGCATAGTGCACAGTGCTTCAGTGACTTCATCAGCTGTAATTTCCTGAAGTTTGCTCGTAATCTATATATGATTTGAAGGAATTATGGTTAACACGTTCATGAAAAATCTTTTCATCCCTCAGATGATTGCTGATGTTATTCGCACATGCCTGGGTCCCAGGTCCATGTTGAAGATGTTGATGGACCCTATGGGTGGCATTGTGATGACCAACGATGGAAATGCCATTCTCCGTGAGATCACTGTCCAGCATCCTGCAGCCAAACACATGATTGAGATTGCACGAACACAAGATGAAGAGGTAAGCAAATCTATAGATTGTAGTTGTTTCATTTAAAGATTTTCATGGAACTAAGACTTTAACAAGTATGATGAATTCTGTCAATATTTAGTTAAATTTTTAATCTCTTTTGAAAAGGTTGGTGACGGCACAACAAGTGTGGTTATCTTGGCTGGAGAAATGTTGGCTGTGGCTGAACAGTTCCTCGAGCACAAAATGCATCCTGTGGTCATTATTCAGGCCTACAGACAAGCACTTGAAGATTCCATTAATATTCTCAGGGAACAGCTTAGGTAAGAATCATAGGCTAAAATTTGCAATTTTGGAATGGCGACATTTCTTTTGTATTCCTCTATTATTTAGTTGGCATTTTTTTTTCCTTTCTTTCATTTCATTTTTTTTTTTATCTTCGTGTTATATTTTTTGCAGTGTACCTGTAGATATCAACAGTGAGGAACAGATGGTTGATGTCATCAAGTCTTGTATTGGTACCAAATTTATGGGTCAGTATGCTGATCTGGCCTGTTCCATTGCCCTGCGTGCCGTCAAGACTATCACTACTGAACAGGATGGTCACAAGGAAATCGATGTCAAGAAATGGGCAAGGATTGAGAAGGTAGGGTTGATAATGCTGTATTTTGTGTGTGGAATTTGGCTGTTTTAGTTTTAGTTTAGAAATGTATTTTGTCTTGTTAATTTTTGTTTCTACTTGTTTTTGTTTTCTCTTTTTTACTTCCAAGCATTGATTGTCTGATTCATGAATTTTGTAAATACTTGTACCTTGTAGAGAATCTTATTCTTGGCTTATGGTCACAGATCCCCGGTGGCACCATTGAAGATTGCCAAGTTTTGAATGGAATCATGGTGAACAA